GTCCCCTCCACGCCTGTCACCCTTCACACCACCAGGCCCTGCACACCATCTCCTCCCAGTATCCTGCGACACCCACAGTGAGGGAGAGGAAGGGACTACTAGTCCTTTTTGACAGACAGCAGGCTCCCGTTCAGAGAGGTTGGACTCCGGGCCTGGAGCCACGGCCAAGCCCAGGGGAGGGCAGGGCCTCAATGGGCACTCATTTGGTTCCTTTACTCTTCCTGATGAGGGCAGTTTTGAAATCAGCAAATTCAGTGATGGGGACAGAGACGGGGAGCTTCTGAATGTGGCTGCAGGTGTTAGTACAGAGGCGTGAACTGGTTCTAGAAAAATTCCTAGGCTGGCCTTTGAATGTTGTCTTTTTAGAACTAAATCCTTGCTAGATGTCCCCTCTGTCACTCTTATCTTGTCCTTCATTGTCCTTATCACAATCTGATAGGCCCCGCCTGTGGTTCTTAGCTGCTTCCCGTGCTTAGAAGGTAATGTTGGCATCCCAGGACCCTGGTGCTCATCAGCTCCATGATAAACAGCTGTGAAATGCATCTGGCTGAGTGTGAGATGGTGCAGCTGCCAAAACCCCTCCTGCTTGGCCTGAGATCTGGTTGGAGCTTGTGTCACTGTTACCCTCTTGGTCCTTACACCCTTCTCGCCTCTCTTTCAGTTCTTTTCATGTTTGGTGATGATCGCCTATGGAGTGAGTGCCTTCTTCAGCTACCAGGCCTGGCGAGGGGTAGGCAGCAATGCAGCCACCAGTCAAATGGCTGGCGGCTATGCCTAAACCACCTGTGCCACGGCCCTCTCTGGGGCTGAAGCCGCCGCTGGGTCACAGAGCAGCGTCACCCTGCAAGCCCGAAGCTGGGGAGCCCTGCGTGGAGTCAACCCGACAGCGACTGCACTTGCTCCTCTCTGCCCATCAGACACGAGCTCTCACAGCGCTAAGGAAGCAGGCCCAGGCTGGCAGGCATCTGGGCTTGCAGGAGGCCAACCGCTGAGACCTCCTCTCCATCCCCCTTATTCAGTGGAAGGTGACGGGGGATCTGAGGCTGTGTCTCTGCCTTGTCTTTAGAGGACTTCAGCGTCCAAGACTGGGGCCTACCCTTCTCACCAGCACTAAATGCACTAACAAGGACTCCTGACCTGCAGCCCCAGACTCGCCGTAGTATAAGCCTAACAAGCAACATGTAGCACCTTAGTCTTCGTTCCAGGAGAGCTGAGCAAGCTCGTGAAACCACTCTCCTTCCTTTAAACACCGTTCCAACCGACCTCTCCCTGGAGCCAACCTATAAAAACTGGGTTATGATTGTTGACAGCATGGTCTTCCCTCCCTGCATTTTAGACATACCAGTTACTGAAAACAAATCAGTTTTAAGTGACTTCTCAATGCTGAAAAGCCTGTCCAGGTTTCCTTCACTTTCCCAAGCCTCTCTCTGTAATACTCCCTTTGGGCGAAGCTAACCTCAGTGCTGACTGCCTCCCTGACCCTGCTGACTAGGCACATGGGATGCGAAGGAGGGAGGGAAGTGAGGCCTTGCCTGGCAAGTTGTCATGGGGTTGGTGGTGACTGTTTTATTTTTTTTTAATAAAAAGATAAGAGAAGTTATTTGGACAAGATGTTGGGGAATCACTTTTGCAGGTGCTTGTAACCTCCAGGAGACCTCAGCTTGACTGTAGAAGATGCCTGCTGTAGGGCAGTTCACGTTCTGGAGTCATTCAGCACCACCTGCCACTCTTTGACCAGAGGAAAGCTGCTTATACTTCCTGCTTGCTGGGTCTAGAACAGTCCTGGTTTATGCTGTTTGTGCTGGCATAGGTAGAATAGCACGGCCTTTTATTCTCACAAGTGATTCAATTTGACAATAACTTAGTCTCCCTTGCTTTGAGCAGGTTAGGTGAGCTTACTAAATGAAAGATTTCAATAATATCACCTACCTTGAAGGTCTGTGAAGCTTGGAGGTCATATAATCAAGGTGGCTGGCCATGCTGCCTGCTCAGAGCTGGTAGAGACAGCAGAGGAAAGCAGCCGAGTACTCCTGAGCTTATTTTTCCAAGACCATAGAGCAACATTCTCTGAACAATAAGGTAAAAGCATTTCTAGGCACCCTCTGTACCCTTTTTATTTGTTATTTTTATTTTTATTTTTTGGAGATGGAGTCTCACTCTAGCGCCCAGGCTGGAATGCAATGGCATAATCTTGGCTCACTGCAACCGCCCCCTCCCGGGTTCAAGCGATTCTCCCACCTCAGCCTCCCAAGTAGCTGGGATTACAGGCGTGCACCACCACACATGGCTAATTTTTGTATTTTTAGTAGAGACAGGGTTTCACCATGTTGGCCAGGCTGGTCTCGAACTCCTGACCTCAGGTGATCTACCCGCCTCGGCTTGTTAAAGTGCTGGGATTACAGGCATGAGCCACCGCCCCCAGCCTCTGGTCCCTTTTTAAAAGTTGGGAATTAAAATGTAACTAAGTTCAAACAGTTGCAGATGAGCTACTCTGTTACTCAGGGATGGGGGATTAAATCCAGTCCATGTGCCCGAGTCCCGGGGGCACGCCCCGTTTTTGCGGTTGTTTTCTATTGGTATTTTTTTTTTTTTTTTTTGGAGATGGAGTCTCATTCTGTCACCCAGACTGGAGTGCAGTGGCATGATCTCAGCTCAATGCAACCTCTACCTCCTGGGTTCAAGCGATTCTTCTGCCTCAGCCTCCCGAGTAGCTGAGACTACAGGTGAGCACCACCACACCCAGCTGATTTTTTGCATTTTTAGTAGAGATGGGGTTTCACCATGTTAGCCAGGATGGTCTCAATCTCCTGACCTCGTGATCCACCCGCCTCAGCCTACCAAAGTGCTGGGATTACAGACATGAGCCACCGCGCCCGGCCGTTTTTTTTTTTTTTTTAAGAGACAGGGTCTTGCTCTGTTGCCCAGGTTGGAGTACAGTGCCACAACCACAGCTCACTGCAGCCTTGACTGCCCAGGCTTAAGCAATCCTCCCACCTCAGCCTCCTCAGTAGCTTGGACTACAGGTGCATGCCACCATGCCCAGCTAATTTTTTTTTTTTTTTTTTTTGAGACAGAGTCTTGCTTTGTCACCCAGGCTGGAGGGCAGTGGTGTGATCTTGGCTCACTGCAAGCTCTGCCTCCCGGATTCAAGCGATTCTCCTGCCTCAGCCTCCCGAGTAGCTGGGACTACAGGTGCGTGCCACCACACTCGGCTAATTTTTTGTGTTTTTAGTAGAGATGGGGTTTCACCGTGTTAGCCAGGATGGTCTCAATCTCCTGACCTCATGATCCACCCGCCTCGGCCTCCCAAAGTGCTGGGATTACAGGCGTGAGCCACCGCACCTGGCTGATTTTTTTTTTTGTAGACACTGGGTCTCACTATATTGCTCAGGCTTGTCATAAAACTCCCAGCTTCAAGTGATCCTCCTGCCCCAGCCTCCCAAAGTGCTGAGATTATAGGTGTGAGCCACCACACCTGGCCCTGGTATAAATATTAATAGCATGACTTTTTACTCTCAAGTCTCTCCGAGTTTGAATAAATTAGTCCTTCCAGGAGTAAGTTATAAGAGTTTGGTTTTAAGGAAGGATAAGGCACTTAAATGCAGAACAAAATCGCAGGCAAGTTGGAGAGCTCACCCCTCTTATGTCTCCGACATGAATCAAAAAGCCTGTTTCGGGGGAACATTAAAGGTGCTCAGTCAATGCTAAGGCTCAGCAGTTCGAGTGACTATTGCTTCTCATTAGGGAGGAGTCCTAAACAAGAGGACGGGGGCTTCCTCACCCCAGGCCAGGTGGGAGCCCCATCAAAGGTGGCACCTGGCATCATAGTCTAAGTGTCTGTGGATGTAGAGATAGGCTGCTAGTTTATTTTAAAATAAATCAGAATGTCTACTTATAATATTAAGTGACAACAGACTTGCCTCCTTTTTACTGAGCAGAAAGGGTGAAAAACCAGCCAGGCATGGTGGCTCACACCTGTGATCCCAGCACTTCGGGAGGCGGGTGGATTACCTGAGGTCAAGAGTTCAAGACCAGCCTGACCAACATGGTGAAACCTTGTCTCTACTAAAAATACAAAAATTAGCTGGGCATGGTGGCAGACACCTATAATCCCGGCTGCTTGGGAGGCTGAGGCAGCAGAATCACTGGAACTCGGGAGGCGAGGGTTGCAGTGAGCCGAGATTGCACCACTGCACTCCAGCCTGGGCAACAAAAACAAAACTCCATTCCCCCCACCCCCAAAAAAAAGACAAAAAAAAAAGAAAGGGTGAAAAACCAATTTGCCTTTATCGTCGTTTTTTCATCATTTAATCTCTGGACTTGTCCACTGGCTTTTTCTCAAGCAGGCAGGCTGGTCCACAGGTCTTAGCAAGTGCCCCCAACATGCCTGGGCTGAGGTGGACAGTCCCATTTATAGACAAAGCAAGGGAAAAAGCAAGCCCAGGAGAGGTGGTATTTTGTTTTTTTTTTTTTTTTTTTTTTTTTTTTTTTTTTTTTTTTGGGGAGGGTCTCTTTGTATTGCAGTGACCGGATCTCAGCTCACTGTAAGCTCCGCCTCCCGGGTTCATGCCATTCTCCTGCCTCAGCCTCCCGAGTAGCTGGGACTACAGGCGGCTGCCACCTCGCCCGGCTAATTTTTTGTATTTTTTAGTAGAAACGGGGTTTCACCGTGTTAGCCAGGATGGTCTCGATCTCCTAACCTCGTGATCCGCCCGTCTCGGCCTCCCAAAGTGCTGGGATTACAGGCTTGAGCCACCGCGCCCAGCGAGAGGTAGTATTTTGAAAAGCTGGCTCTGAGAGTGACTTTAAGGGGCCAAAGTGGGCTGGTGTGAATCCATGGTGTTTATAACTAATAGATTACAACCAGTGGCAGATTTCTTTGTTCCTTCTCTACTCCCATTGCTTCACTTGACTAGCCGCCGCCCCCCCCCGCCAAAAAAAAAGACCAAAGCAATAATAACCTGATGGCAGTAGCTACGTTAAAGAGAGAATATGACTCATTGAGAATGGTGGTTCTTGCAAAACACCTCAAATTTTACTCATGGTACAAAAGTATTTAATAAGTGACACATCAGTACAGAAAAACAGAGCTTATGTAAAGCTTATAGCTTGTCCTTTAAAACCAGAATGGCCAAGTGAAAAGTCAGTACAGATTCTTTTTACTATTAAAAAAATCAAAGGGACACACTGGGAATTGAACTACTATGCTTTTTCTTCATTCTAGAGATGACATATATGTTTTCTGGTAAGTAATCTACCACACAATGCACTAAACCAAAGCATACAAACAGCCAGTAAAGCTGTGCCCTACCTGCTACTCATGCTGGGCTGGACAGTGGAACACCATCTTAGTAAGAGATATTTTGACAGGAAGAAACTGCAGAGTCCCTACCTAACCCAGAGAACCTTACAAACTGGTCTACACAGAAAGGATTTTCAGCAAACATGCAAACATACTAACATGCTATAAGAATATTTTAGCCTATTTCTAGCACACAGCATACATTCATAGGTGCCCAGTAAAATAGGAATGAATGCCAATGTAGAAAGCGTTTTTGCCTTCACAGTACTAACACCTAAAAAGCACACAGCATATAATACTTTGATCTTTAAGTGGATAATCATGGAAGTTCCAAGATCACATCCACTAGGTTAGCCTGAGTATTCATCTATAAAAATATTTTTTTTTTCCAAAAATAATGCTTAAAAGAGACATCTAGAAACAGTGGGACTACATCAGGACCAGAAGACAGTGACACAAGGACTGCAAATGTTAAGACTAGGAGTAGCTTTTCACATGGAGAGGATATCTCTTCACATGGAGAGAGATACCCTTTTATGTAGAGGATATCTCTTTCTGTTGATTCCTACAGCCAAGACAAGATGTGATCACAGGAGATTCCGAAATCTCAAGCTGGGCTTGAGTAACACCCTAGATAAACATCAGGAACCCCACTGTGGCTGAAGTACTGAAACTGTGGCCCATGTGAAAAAGAGGTGCAAGTGCACAAAGATTGATGCAGAGGCTGCTGGAACAGAGGGTGGTGGCGGTGGGTTAGTCCACACTTACACACCAGCAGGTATGCTGGGGAAGGACCCCCCAGGTGGAGTGCTTGACATGGGCTCGCTCCAGAGGCGTCTGACCCAGAAGCTCCTGAGAGAGGTGTCTACTTGAGGAGGGGAGGAGTACTATGGTTAATGAATACAAGAAGGTGTTTCAGGAGGAATAGGTCCAGGAGGGTTAGGTCTTTTTGGTTTTGACCTATCAATACTTAACATAAATGAGTTACATAACAGAGTCAGTCTTTCCAAGATGTGTTCTGCCATCATGAGCTGGGCCTATTGGGCTGGTGACATCCAGAATGATCCCATTCATTGGCTGGAGGTAGGACCTAGTGCCGCAGATTGTTCTGGGAAGCTGACACAGAAGATGATTTGCACAACGAAGTCACCACTAAGCCACTGCTTAAGTCCAGTCCTCGGCCTTCTTTTTCCTATATGAGAAAACAACCAAAAGGAAGGGCCAGAAAGAGCCCTGGCTTGGAATCTTGCCTCTGACATGGCGAAGGCAGAGCTGAAGGTGGGAACGTGGACCTCCAGAGTACATAGGAAGGGAACACAGGTTATTGGTTATTCTGCATTTCTGCTCAATACTGGCCTGTCCTAGTCTTAATTTTTTAATATTATTATTTTTAAAGAGGTAGGGTCTTGCTCTGTCACCCAGGCTGGAGTATAGTGGCTTCATCATAGCTAACTGCTGCCTGGAATTCCTGGGCTCAAATGGTCCTCCTGCCTCAGCCTCCTGAGTAGCTAGGACTACAGCTGTGCACCACTACAGCTGGCTAACTTTTTTATTTTTATTTTTGTAGAGATAGGGTCTTGGTATGTCACTTAGGCTGGTCTTGAACTCCTGGGCTTGAGTGATTCTCCTGCCTTGGCCTCCCAAAGTGCTGGAACTGTAAGTATGAGCCACTGTGTCCAGCCTGGCCCTGGTCATTCTTAAAGTGCACTCTTAAAATGTACCTCCCTTCACTGGAAAACATTTTTCTTTCTTTTCTTTTCTTTTTTTTTTTAGATGGGGGTCTTGCTATGTTGCCCAGGCTGAAGTGCAGTGGCTATTCACAGGCATCAGTGCTGTGCAACACAGTCCCAAACTCCTAGGCTCAAGTGATTCTCCTGCCTCAGCCTTCCAAGTAGCTGGGACTACAGGCATGCACCACCATACCCAACACCATTTCTTTTTCTTTTCTTTTTTTTTTTTTTGACACAGGGTCCGACTCTGTCACCCAGGCTGGACTGCAATGGGGCAATCACAGCTCACGGCAGTCTCAACCTTCTGGGCTCAAGTGGTCCTCCCACCCAGCCCCCCAAGTAGCTGACTGAGACTACAGGTGCACATCAGCACACCAAGTTAATTTTTGTATTTTTCATAGAGATAGGGTTTTGCCATGTTGCCTTGGCTGGTCTCAAACTCCTGAGCTCAAGCCATCTGCCTGCCTCGGCTTCTCAAAGTGCTAGGATTATAGGTGTGAGTTACCATACCCAGTTTCCTATTTTTCTTATAAAGAGCTTGCATTGTAAGAAAAGCAAGGCAGGGCCAGGTGCAGTGGCTCACACCTGTAATCCCAACACTTTGGGAGGCCGAGGTGGACCATGCTTCAGGAGTTTGAGACCAGGCTGGCCAACCTGGTGAAACCCTATCTCTACTAAAAATACAAAAATTAGCTGGGCGTGGTGGCAGGTGACTGTAGTACCAGTTACTCAGGAGGCTGAGGCAGGAGAATCGCTTGAACCTGGGAGGCAGAAGTTTCAGTGAGCCAAGATTGTGCCACTGTACTCCAGCCTGGGTGACAAGAGCAAAACTCTGTCTCAAAGAAAAAAAAGAAAGGCAAGGCAGAATGAGACCTGAGACCTGCTTTTTGGGTTTTGTCCTTCTGATTAGGAACTCAAAGATGGTACCTGGGGCTTCTTTCATGAAAACATGAGAAGGTCCCAGCCACAGTAGAATAGCAGCTCACTCTTCTGATGCCTCATCAGCTGCTGGACTGATACTGGCCAGTTTGAAGGGAGAACGATGGGGGAAGCGTGCGAGGTTTGTGTTCGGTATTTCTACCTGGAACTTTCTAAGTGGCTCAAAGTGGCTAAATAAATAGGCAGTAGTAACTTACTGCTCTGTAGTCCAAAAACATTTCTTTAAAAGCCAGAAAATCTGTGAAAGTGAGCAGCATGTCGAATATGTCACCAGCCACTTCATCCTTATGGTGCCTGCAAATGGAACAGACGGCTGTTTCGTGAATGAATGATGAGACAGTCCTCAAGATTGCTTTTGTTTTTCTTTCCCTCACCCCAGCCCCACCCCCTGCATTTTTTTTTTTTTTTTAAGAGACTGGGTCTTGCTATGTCACCCAGATAGGAGTACAGGGGTGCAATTATAGCTCACTGTAGCCTTGAACTCCTGGGCTCAAGGGATCCTCCAGTCTCAGCCACCTGAGTAGCTAGGCCGACAGGTATGCAACACCACACCTAACTAATTTATTTTTTGTAGAGTTGGGGCCTCACTATGTTGCCCAGGCTGGTCTTGAACTCCTGGGCTCAAGTGATCCTCCTCCCTTGGCCTCCCAAAGCACTGAGAATACAAGTGTGAGCCACTGCCTGGTCTTTTCAAGATTTCATTAAAAGGTTTGAGGGCTTCCTACACAGGACCTAACCACCAAGGGCATGCACGGGAAAACAAACAAAACAAGAGGGTCTTTTTGGTCAGCATAGGGAAGGAAGAAAGTGAGAAAACAAAACACAAAAATCAGTCAAGCTCAACTCACTGTAATGTTGTGGTGAAAGCTGCCATGTTGAACCCAGGAATCCGCTGCAGCAGCTGTTCTTCAATATATTTTTCTACCAAAGAAATCTGCAACAGTGGAAAGGATTTTGGTGAGACCACACTTTGGGAAAACAAGACTTTCTTTTCAGAAAGCCTGCCCTCTAGCCCTTCCTAAACATTTCCTGAGGTCTGTGTGCCACAATCTACACTAAGTGCCAAGGATACCAAAGAGGACCAAAACACAGCCCCTGTCCTGGAGAAGAACTCAGCCTGGTGTGGAAGAGAAGCATTAGCTGATAATGATGCTGTAGCAGGGTGAATGCTCTGACACAGGTGGAGACAGTGAGTAGCACAGTGCCCAATGGAGGCTTTGCCTCCTGGGTAGAGGGCATCTGTGTAAACAGAACATATGGACATGGAGGCAGTCACAGGTTCCTTCTGGGCAGGTTTGTTTATGTCATGCTTCTGTGTTAAGAAAATAAAGTCTTGGAGGCTGAAATGGATTCTTAGATGACAGAATCCCAGAGGGCTGCAAGAAGCCTCAGGGTAAAGTGTAGAGACCCAAGGGTAATGAGCTGAGGTTCCTGGGTTCCAGTCTTGGTTTTTCTACCAAATAGTTAGTGATCTTGGTCTCAGTTTTCACTTTTACTTAACAGTCATGCATATATGACTGGATTATATAGAAGAAAGAGCATGTGAAAGCAGAAAGGTTTGTCAAAAGCATGCAAATGCAAGGTATGAAAAACTCATGTACTGTGATTGAAAGCAGGACTATGATAAGCCAAACTTCATTTATTATATTTATTATATTTTTTTTTAGATAAAGAGGTCTTACTTTGTTGCCCAGGCTGGTCTCAAACTCCTGAGCGCAAATGATTCTTCCACCTCAGCCTCCCAAATAGCTGGCACTACAGGTGTGCTACCAAGCCCAGCTCAAACTTTTTTTTTTTTTTGAGACGGAGTCTCGCTCTGTCGCCCAGGCTGGAGTGCAGTGGCCAGATCTCAGCTAACTGCAAGCTCCGCCTCCTGGGTTTATGCCATTCTCCTGCCTCAGCCTCCCGAGTAGCTGGGACTACAGGCACCCGCCACCTCGCCCGGCTAGTTTTTTGTATTTTTTAGTAGAGACGGGGTTTCACCGTGTTAGCCAGGATGATCTCGATCTCCTGACCTCGTGATCCGCCCGTCTCGGCCTCCCAAAGTGCTGGGATTACAGGCTTGAGCCACCACACCTGGCCTCAAACTTCTTTTAAATACGAAGCTGACGAGCTAATCAAATATTTGCCTGAAAGCTTTTTGGAAAATAGCCCCAAAGGCTGTGCAGAGGAAAATGAACTTAAACCAGATTCTAATGAGGATTCCTGGCAGTGTACTGGTGGCATATTTTAAAAAGCAGCAAATTTCAATGTCTTTTGATTCTAAATTTAAATTTTTAAAACTCTGACCTCCTGGTAGGAGACATAGAAATCTACTTACGTATTCATTAAAAATAGGTGTGTAGGTGAGTTTATTCTCTTCTGTGTCTTCAAACTCCAGGTAGTACTTGTCCATGAAGTTTCTCTGTAATAACTGGAACTCGTAATCTGAACCACAATGGGGAAAATTTATTCTTTTTAATGGAGATTACCAACCATTATGATTTATAAGAAGGCAGGATCTATGTTAGCAGTACTACTTTCTCAATGGTCAGTCTCTGGAAGGAAAGCTGATGTTTTAAGAGGGTATTAAATGGGACCCTGATGTTGAAATAGACCAATCCTGTTTTCTTTTTCTTTTTTTTTCTTTGCGCTGGAGTTTCACTCTTGTTGCCCAGGCTGGAGTGCAATTATGCAATCTTGGTTCGCTGCAACCTCCACCTCCAGGGGTCAAGAGATTCTACTGCCTTAGCCTCCTGAGTAGCTGGGATTACAGGCGTGTGCCACCTCCCTGGGCTAATTTTGTATTTTTAGTAGACACAGGGGTTCATCATGTTGGCCAGGCTGGTCTTGAACTCCTGACCTCAGGTGAGCTGCCTGCCTCGGCCTCCCAAAGTGCTGGGATTACAGGTGTGAGCCACCACGCCCAGCCCTGTTTTCTTTTTAAATTGTGGTGAGATATACAATTTTTTTTTTTAAATCATTTTAATGTTGAAGCACACAGCTCAGTGGCTTTAAGTATGTTCACATTGTTGTGCAGTGATCATCACCATCCTTCAGTCCATTTTAACCACATCCACACAGGGTGGCTTGGGAACTCCCTCACATTACTTTTCTGAAAAGGAATGGATTGGTTCTCTCTTATTTTGATATAACTTTAGCAGCAATTGTGGAAACATTGTAGTGATTAGAAGTATGGAGTCTGAAAGAGGCTAGCCTGTCTGGGTTCGAATCGCATCTCAGCTACTTACTAATTGTGTGACCTTGGGTAAGTTACTTAATTTCTCTAAACCCCATATAAACTTCTCATTTATCTGGAAAATAAGAATGGTTTATAGTAGTTATCATATAGGATTGGAAGTGGAATTTAGATGAGAATTCATATAAATAGATTAGTTCATAGTGAACACTTAATAAATAATAGGGAAGAGGGAATCTTTTTTTTTTTTTTTTAAATTGAGACAGGGTCTCCCTATGGTGCCTAGGCTGGTCTCGAACTCCTAGACTCAAGCAATCCACCTGCTTTGGCCTCCCAAAGTGTTGGGATTACAGGTGTGAGCCACTGTACCCAGCCCGGAATAAGGAATCTTAACAACTGAATAGATTATTTCTAAAAATAAAAGGAAAGTTTCAGAAAGGACCTAGACCTTGGGATAAATACTGTAGGCTCACAGAAGGCTCATTTTCCCATAGCATATAGGGTATAATAGGCAAGATAACTGAATGGATTCTTCAGTATTCCCCAGAAATCCCCAAATCCACATGGGAAACGAACTTAATGATGAAACATCCATATTCAGGAGTTAAGGGCATGAACCTTTATACCTGAAGGTATAAAACATTGGTCAGTAATTTTCATTTTTTTTTTTTTTTTGAGACGGAGTCTCGCTCTGTCGCCCAGGCTGGAGTGCAGTGGCGCAATCTCTGCTCACTGCAAGCTCCTCCACCTGCGTTCACGCCATTCTCCTGCCTCAGCCTCCCCAGCAGCTGGGACTACAGGCACCCGCCACCAGGCCCGGCTAATTTTTGGTATTTTTAGTAGAGACGGGGTTTCACTGTGGTCTCGATCTCCTGACCTTGTGATCCGCCCACCTTGGCCTCCCCAAGTGCTGGGATAACAGGCGTGAGCCACCATGCCCGGCCTGGTCAGTAATTTTCATACTAAATGGATTAAGCCATACAGCCAACACCACCAAGTAACAGTGTTCTTTTCCTAATTCTCATAAAACTTAAAGTCAACAGAATTTCTCAAATGTAAGTTTTCCCCTCCTACATACTTGTCTTAAACCTCTGGGGACTGTTACTGCTTGTCTGTTACTTAGCAGGTTTCATGGATGCCCAAATACATCCACAAGTAGGAACTCAAAACCTAGGAAAATACAGAACCAGCTGAAGCTTAACACTTTGTTTTCTTTATGGCCATGTGTGCTTGTGGTTATGGTTTTATGTATCTTTTTTTCTTTTTTTAAGATGGAGTCTCGCTCTGTCGCCCACGCTGGAATGCAGTGGCGCGATCTCCGCTTACTGCAAGCTCCACCTCCCAGGTTCACGTTCTCCTGCCTCAGCCTCCTGAGCAGCTGGGACTACAGGCGCCCGGCACCACGCCCGGCTAATTTTTTTGTATTTTTAGTAGAGACGGAGTTTCACCGTGTTAGCCAGGATGGTCTTGATCTCCTGACCTCGTGATCCGCCTGCCTCGGCCTCCCAAAGTCCTGGGATTACAGGCGTGAGCCACCACACCTGGCCTGGTTTTACATGTTTTATGGCATGAAAATGTTAAAACTCAAAACTGTCTAAAAATGAAATTGCTCTTATCCTACATAAGAAATAGAGATCATTATTTCCTATAGTTTTGTGAAGAACTCCACATTATTGGGGCCCCATTACCTGAGTCAGTCCCTTCCAGGCCTCTGAATCTATGCTTATTAGATGTTTTCAGGAGTACTGGGCCGTTTGTTTCTAAGACAAACTGCAGTAAGCCTTTACTTAAGTATTACATTGTGCTACATTAAAAATTGCAGGCAGCTTGATGTTTTCTCTTTTTAAAATTAACTCTCCAAATTGATTTCAATGTCCTTAAAGAAGAAGCAAGCAAGTCCTTAAAAACAGTATCTTAAAAGCTTACCCATGATAATGTCCTCTAAATATCCAACCACAGCATCAAATTCTGCATCAGAGGCGGAGGAGCTGAAAAACATGCCTGGATTAGGTGCTATTTCAAATAATGCATTAAAAAAATGTTTTTAGTATGGACGTTTTCAAACATGCACAAGAGAAAAAAAGAGTAGCAAAACGAACTTCCCATCACCCATCTTCAACAATGTAAGAATGACTGTCTGATCTAGTAAGTCCAAACAGAAGAAAACACACTCGGCACGTTTGTGACATGAACGTTCAATGTCATGACTCCACTTTAATAAAAACTGGTTCTCCAGGCTCTTCGCTATCACCCCATACCTGTCTGCTTGTGAGCATGAACCCAGCACGGGTGAAACACCTGCCAGAGGGGTCATTTGGTCAGGAGTCCGGGAGGCGGGGGCCAGGGAGGCGTGGAGGGGCCTCGGGCGCGGGGCAGGGCCTCGGCAGCTCAACCCCGCCAGGCTTTGCTGACAGCTGAGGGTTGGCGGCTGGGGATTGTGATGGAGGTGCTGATCAACGGTGACACCCGCCTCGCACTCCTGTCCTCCGGGGCCTGAAACCTGCGGCCTTAGTACTCTACAAAACGAAGGCCTGGGGCTGGGACGGCGCCTTGGCGGCCCCCACCCTGCCCCGCCCCTAAGGACACCTGTTTTATAGGGTGAGGCCCGGGCAAACGCCCGCTGTCCCCGTCCCCAAGTCACCTGCCCCCTGGCGGAGCTACTCACAAAGACAGCGCAAAGCTCTCTTCTTCTAAGGCGTCCATCGCCGCCGCCCCGAGTAGGCTCCTACCGCGCCCGCGGCCCAACTCGCAAGCAGGCGCTGCGGCCTGCGGGGTTAAGGCCTCTCAGCCAAGGCCGCGGCCAGCTCACTGCCAGGTCGGGTCAGCGCCTGCGCGCCAGGCCCCGCCTTGGATACCCGCAGCGTCCACTCGTCAGCCCGGCCTCTACGCCCCGCCGGGCCCTCTGCGCGCGCAGCCGACGCCGCAGGTCCAGGCCTAGGTGACTGCCGCCCCGCCTCCTGTCATCATGGCCACTGCAACCCCTTACGCTCCCTCACGGCGGGCCGGCAGCCAATCACAGGCGCGCGTCACCGATGCCGGGGCGGGGCAAGACAGGGAGAGGAAGTCCCGGAAAGGAATGCGGAGGGATGCGGGGCCTCGCCTAGTCCGCGTTGCGTGGCGACTCAGTCTTTAGTCGCCCCCATTTTACGGATAAAGGAAACGAAGCCAGGAGGCTGAATTTCCTCACTCGCAACTCGAGAATAAATCGCCCCTCCCAGAGTGTGGAAAATTAAGTAGTTTAAGGCACTTTTGAAGAGCGCTTGTAAGTTGCCAAGTCGCTGGAGAGCCAGTCCCTTATCCCTTGAACCAGGTGATGCTGACGTCTGATTTCAAGACAATTCCTACCCCTCGTGGAAGGAAAGCGCCATCGCAAGAAGTAGATGTCTTGTAGTTTGCATTATAATCTTCGCATTATAAAGCTTACTCGGCAGTAACTGGTTTCTTGACTAATTATACAAGATGAGAGTCGAAGAACTGTTTTGAGCCACGCAATCAGGAATCAGATACTTTTCAGGAAAAGGCCTCTGCAAAACTGCCAAACTTTGAAACAAAGGATTCGTTTGAGCTGATTTCTCTTGATTGGACAACTAAGCATTGTGCCTCTTTAATTGCATGATACCTTTTGGCCAAAGTGCGGTATATGACTAGAGGAACTAGAGGGATTTAAGGTATGAACTGAGGGTCAGGTGGCCAGTCAGAATGGGTTAGCAGACATTTTTTATTTTTATTTTTTTGAGACAGAGTCTTGTTCTGTCGCCCAGGGTGGAGTGCAGTGGCATGATCTCGGGTGGCTACAACCTCCGCCTCTCAGGTTCAAGCGATTCTCGTGCCTCAGCCTAAGTACCTGGGATTACAAGTATCCGCCACCGCGCCCGGCTATTTTTGTATTTTTAGCAGAGACGGGGTTTCACCATGTTGGCCAGGCTGGTCTCGAACTCCTGACCTCAGGTGATGCACCCACCTTGTCCTCCCAAAGGGCTAGGATTACAGGCGTGAGCCACCACGCTGGGCCTAGCAGGCATCTTTCAGTGGACGTAAAATAGATATCCGTGGGATCTGTAACAAAGATGGTTACAAAGACACAGTTGGGTGTGACAGCTGTGACCAAGGTGACATCAATTATTACTAATTTATTTATTTATTTATTTTTATTTTTATTTTATTTATTTTTTTTTTTTGAGACGGAGTCTGGCTCTGTCGCCCAGGCTGGAGTGCAGTGGCCGGATCTCAGCTCACTGCAAGCCCCGCCTCCCGGGTTCACGCCATTCTCCTGCCTCAGCCTCCCGAGTAGCTGGGAGTACAGGCGCCCGCCACCTCGCATGGCTAATTTTTTTTGTATTTTAGTGGAGACGGGGTTTCACCATGTTAGCCAGGATGGTCTCGATCTCCTGACCTCGTGATCCGCCTGTCTCGGCCTCCCAAAGTGCTGGGATTACAGGCTTGAGCCACCGCGCCCGGCCACTAATTTATTTTTTGAGACGGAGTTTCACTCTTGTTGCCCAGGCTGGAGTGCAATGGCGCAATCTCGGCTCAACACAACCTCTGCCTCCCGGGTTCAAGGGATTATCCTGCCTCAGCCTCCCGTGTAACTGAGATTACAGGCATGCGCCACCATGCCAGTCTAATTTTTTTTTTGTATTTTTAGTAGAGACGGGGTTTCTCCATGTTGGTCAGGCTGGTCTTGAACTCCCGACCTCAGGTCATCTGCCCGCCTCGGCCTCCCAAAGTCCTGGGATTACAGGCGTGAGCCACCACGCCCAGTCAGGTGACATCAATTATGAGTCACTCTGTTTAGCACCAAGTGGAAGATAGGCATTTTAAAAGGTTTGCTGAATTACTGGACTGAGTTTAGTCAAGCCCTGGTCACACAGCTCACAGCAAACTCAGATAATTTCTTTATGACCTTTCTCTATATACCACACATTTCTGGACCAAAATGAATTTGCCTACCATTCCTAAGTCATTGATGGAGTGGAGGAGGAACACACCTTGATTTAATCTGTTCTGGTTATCTATTGCTGTTACAAACCAACCTGAAAATTTAGTGGCTTAAAATAACCATTTTGCTCACTAATCTGTAATTTGGGCAGGGCTTGGCAGGGCCACTAGTCTCTATTCCAGTTGGTGTCGGCTGGGGCAGCTGGAATGGACTAGAGGAGCTCCCTCCAAGGAATTTACTCACGTGGCTGGCAAATTAGTGTTAGCTCTTGGCTCTCAGTTGTGGACATTGGCCAGAGAACTGGGGCCGGGGGATGGGGGTACAAGTTCCTCCCCATGTATAGGATTCAGGGGATTCTTGGGTTTTCTCACACCATGGTGCTGGGTCTAAGAGCAAGTGTTTCAAGAGACACAGAAATGGAAGCTGGCAGTCACTTAAAGGCCTGGTATTGGAAACTGGCACAGTATCTCTTCCACTGTGTTCCACTGATAAAGCAGACACAGAGCCACCCAAATTTAAGAAGAGCGGACATAAACCTCATTTCTTGACGGGAGGGATGTCAAATAATTTGTGGCCATCTTTTAATCCATTTCACCACCCTTATTGACTCTAGGAACAAATGGGGATAAAGATAAAATGTACCCACTCAGGGATGTATCAGATAGTGTGCTAAACATTTATAAATACATTGTCTCCTTTTGAAATATCTGAAACCCCGTAAAAACAAAAAACTGGTATGAGTATCTCCATTTTACAGTCTGGAAAACCAAGCATTAGTGGGACCTGGGTCCAGTCCCACCCAAAAGGCCTATTTCAACCATCGTGCTTTTTTATAGCCCCTAATCCCTGGGTTGTTAAACCATATTCTTGGAAATCAGAACATGTTTTCTCCTGAATACAGAATGGTCTTTTTCCACTTGTAGCAAAATTAAAAGTTGACTTGAATATACTAAATGTTTTTCCATTAATACTCATTTTTAAAATCATTTGATTGGGGGTTGGCACTAGGAATTCTTCTGAGTGAATAGCAAAAGGTAAATGATGGGCAATCTTGGAAAGACCTGATCTTAGTTGGTTATTTGTGGATACATATTCAAGATGGTTGAAACTTGTGTAAAAGTCATTTTCTGCTAGTGAAATTGTGTCAGTTTTGTGAATCATTGTTTCCTGGCACTCTGCAAATGGCACCATGACTTCTGCTCTATGTCATTTTTAAAAGGAGCGAATTCATTACAATTTTTTTTTGGCTGAAATGCTGGATTTCCCCAATGAATCACTTGACAAAATACCATAATTTTTTGTTTTTCTCCCTGGTAATCATTTATCAGTAGTAAAAGTCTAGCTTTTCTCTTAAATGCTTACATTCAGTTCAGAATATGGATGTATGATTTTACTCTTCCACATAGCTTGCTAACCCCTAGTTTTTTCTTTGATACGGAATTCCTGTCTTTCCCTTGGAGGTGGCTCCAAGTTTACAACTTAGCTTCCATCCTGGATGATTTGATCAATTTCATATTGAAGCCCTTTTATGATCTAGAAGTTAAGAATAGGAAAAGTAAACCACCTTAGGAACAAAGTTCAAGGGTAGATTTTTAGAAAGCTGTTAGACCCCTGCATTCCTTTGCCTGGCAAATTATCTATTTATTCCATCTATTTTTCCCTCTCTCCACTAAATGTACAGACTACCTTTAGTTTCAGCTGGACCACATGTTTCTTTACTGGTCTATTTACATTTTTTGCTTATCCTTTACCCCCAGCTCACCCCACTCCTCCATTTCATTCTCCAAATAGAAGCCAGAGCCATCTGTTAGAATTATCAAGGCACTTCCATGCTTAAACACCTCTGCTTTCTACTGCACTTAGTATAAAATAGAAAACCCTTCACATAGCCTTCATGAGCAGTTCCCTGGCCTGTAGCATTACCTACTCAACACTGTAGCATTACCTACTCTACCTACTTGCTTCCTATTTTTCTAGTTACAGGCATCTGATCCCCAAACCCACTGAGACCCGTTCTTCCTCAGTTAGTGCCTTTGCCTGTAATGTTGTGTTCGCCTAGCTACCCAGTCCTAGAAGCTAGTCCTCTCTGCCAGGCTATGTCCTACTTCCTCCTTTAAGTTTCACTAATGTTACTTCCTCAGTGAGGTTTCTTCTGACACTCCCACCACCATCTAAATTAGTTCCCCCTCATTCTCTCTAGGACCCTATTCTTTTCCACTAAAAATTTGTTACAATAAACACAAATACATTGTCTTCTCCCCACCTTAGGAACAAACTTCAAGGGTAGATTTTTAGAAAGCTGTTAGGCTCCTGCATTCCTTTGCCTGGCAAATTATCTATTAATTCCATCTATTTTTCCCTCTCTCCACTAAATGTACAGACTACCTTTAGTCTCAGCTGGACCACTTCCAAATTATTATTAGACATAATAATAGACAATAATTAGACAAGCTTATTAGACATAAGCTCTACAAACAGGTATTTTGTATGCCACATAGGCACAGTGCCCAGCACATATTAGGTGCTCAATAACAATCTGCTGGATAAGTAAGTGATTAGCCTTATTCTTAATTCTAATACTTGATTCTCTCCTACTCCCAAAAGTAGCCCTTAAAGTCTGAGAGTATAATGTCTTGGAACCTTAGCAGTATATACCAATGAAAGTTGTGAAATCTTAGTCAAAAACGGCAACAGATATTTTATTCTTCAATGCAAATTACTGTATTCACCACAAGCTAAAGAAGAGAACATGTATCTACATATATATTTATATATATATATATATATATTTGTTTGGATTTATGGAAGACTAAAGACATGGAAAAAAATCCAGCACCCCAACATGTACAGCCAGGAAGGAAATCAGCTCTGTAATAGGACAGGTATAATGAACTATAAACAAGAAGGGGTGGAAAAAGAAGGAAAAAAAATGTGCATTGACTTTAAGACACTGTAAAACTCAGAAGACATATTTACTATTCAAGTATAAACTCTGTAAGGACTTGGCATAAATTGAAAGGCGGCTGCAGAGGTACAC